AAGATGCAGAACAGTATGAATTGTAAGATTCCAATTCTGTACCTTTTAAATAGAACATATACATAGCTAATAAAACATCTAAAAGTGAAAAATCAGGGGCACTTGGGTGGCTCAGCAGTGGAGCATCTGCCTTTGGCTCAGGTCGTGATCCTGGGATCCTGGGATCGAGTCCTGAATCAAGCTTCCTGCAAGGAGCCTGCTTCTCCCTCTGCCTATGTCTCTGCTTCTCTGTGTGTCTCTCATGAATAAATACATAAAATCTTTAAAAAAGTAAAATAAAATGAAATAATAAAAGTGAAAAATCAAAGAATTGCAGTATAAGCATATTTAGTCATTAAAGAATCAGCCAGAAAGTTAAAATGGCTCATTATTGGGGGTAGGAAGTGCAGTACATAATTACTCTTGTGTTAACTTGATTTGTTAACCAGATGTACATAATGCCTTTTTTTTTTTTTTACATAATGCTTTCTTAAAAATAATGAATTTTGGGGTACCTGGTTGGCTCAGTCGATTAAGCGTCTGTCTTTGGCTCAGGTCATGATCCTGGCATCCTGGGATTGAGCCCTACATTAGGCTTCCTGCTCAGCGGGGAGCCTGCTTCTCCCTCTCCCGTTCCACCTGCCTATGCTCTCTCTCTCCCCTCTCTCTCTCTCTCTCTCTGTGTCAAATAAATAAGTGAAATCTTAAAAAAAAAATGGAAAAAACCACAACAAATGATTTGTAACGTGTTCAGATGTCTTTTTAAAAAAATGAATTTTTAAAAATATTTTAAAGAAAATAATGAATTTTAAATGTCTTAAATTAAGCAATATCTAAAAATAGCTTTCTTTTTTTTTCCTTAGGATTTTACTTATTTATTCATGAGACACAGAGAGAGAGAGAGAGAGGCAGAGACATAGGCAGAGAGAGAAGCAGGCTCCATGCAGGGAGCCTGATGCAGGACTGGGACTCCAGGATCACGCCCTGGGCCAAAGGCAGGCGCTCAACTGCTGAGCCACCCAGGCATCCCCAAAAATAGCCTTTTAAAAGAATTCTCATTCCCTGTTCCCCCAATCACCTGCCTAGCTTTTCTTTCAGAGCATAGTCAAAATTCTTGAAAAAGTTTTAAGTGCTTCTTAGTCTCCATTCCTTACTTTGTACCTTTCTCCACCCCTCAAAATTTGGTTTTGCCAAAGTCACCAGTGACGTGGCTAAAGTCAGCAGGTAAGTCTCAGTCCTGATCCAACCTGACATTGGTAATATCAGGAACTAGTTGTTTTGGAAGCCTGTTGGGCTCTGGTGACAGCACTCTGCAAGTTGTCTTCCTCCTGAAGAGACCCCTCGCCAATGTTGCTGTTCCATAGGGTTCTGTTCCAGTCCCTCTTCTCTCCTTGCATGAGCTCCACTCCATAGCTGCAGTTACAACCTATGTTCTGATGTTCTCATGCCTCACAAATCTCTTATCTCTAGTCCAGATTGCTCTCCTGCATTATATATTCTACAACATTATAGAGCATTATCCAATAGCATTTTACATGAATACTTTCCAACCTTTTCCATATCATGGCACACATAAAGAAGGATGGCATTTTCATGGCAACACACCTTAACAAGACTACAGTCTTTCATAGGAAGTTTGTGCTGCTTTGAGTTGGGAAAATATGCAGCACATCTGTAACCTCTTCCTGAAGCACAACAGTTGGGAAGCTCTTACCTCTTGGATGGACATTTTCACTGGGACATTCCCCAGGCATTTCAATGTTAACATGTTTGGAAGTGAACATATCATCTCCCAAAATGCTCTTCCTTGTGTTTTTCCACTTTCGTAAGTGGCCCTGCCATCTGGAAGCTACCCAGTCCGGAAGTCTTGGCTTAGCTCTCTGCTTCCCTCACCTTCCAATCCCTGCTGACTCTGCTGCTCTTCATTTCTTAAAGTGATCTCCTCTCCATCACCACTATCACTTTCCTAGTCCAGAGTACATCATTTCTCATTTTTCCCTTCAATTACCACAAAAACTCTGTTCTCTGACTTGAATCTTGCTTTCTCTAAACTGTTCTCCACATTGCAACCAGTTATCTTTCTAAAATGCAATTCTGATTATGCCAACCCCCTGCTTAAAACCATTCAAAGTACCAATGTGAGCAGTGATCTACCGGTCAGTCATCAGCACCATATGCACCATTGCTACTAAACTGTTTTATTACGAGCAGCTTGTGGCAATAAGAGGTCTAAGAGACCTAGCCTGTTTTTTAACACAGATAAGTAAAGAACAATATGTGATGGGGCGCCTGGCTTGCTCAGTCAGATGAGTGTCCAATTCTTGGTTTCAGGTCAGATCATGATCTCAAGGTTGTGAGATCCAGCCCTACATCAGGCTCCAAGCTCAGTAGGGAGTCTGCTTTAGGTTCTTTCCCTCCCTCTCTCTCTGTCCCTCCTCTCACTCTCTCTCTAAAATAAGTAAATAAATCTTTTAAAAAATATGTGATGAATGGTATATAACAAGTATGGAAAACCAACTATGGGACTTCTGTATAGTTTTTAATAATTTAGGGCATTTGAGTGGCTCAGTCAGTTAAGCGTCTGCCTTCGGCTCTGGTCATGGTCCCAAAAGTCCTAGGATCAAATCTGGCATCAGACTCCCTCCTCAGTGAGGAGCCTACATCTCCCTCTCCCTCTGACCCTCCCTGCCCCAGTTGTACTCTTTTCTCTTTCTCTTTCTCTTTCTCTTCTCTTTCTCTTTCTCTTTCTCTTTCTCTCTCTCTCTCATAAATAAATAAATAAATAAATAAATAAATAAATAAATAAATAAATAAATAAAATCTTTAAAAATTTTTCTTAAATAATTTAAGTGAATAGTACCACCAGGGAGTTAAGATACAAAGTGATCATGGGTAATAGTAGTTATACTTCTTTAACCTCTTGTCAGTGGAGATGAAGGTTTATAAAGTATAGAGAATCTGCCAAAATCTGAATGCCTAAGCTTTCAAGTGTGCAAAAGCCTTTAAGTAGGAGGGCAGATACTTGCTCTGACAAGTGCAGATGTTCTGGCTGTGTTTTTTTTTTAAAGTAAATATCTAAATGAAAAGTAAAAAATCCAGATGGTCTGTTTATTTCCAAAAATTTAGTTATTTGGAAACATCCCAAAATAGTTAGAAATGCTTGGCATACTATTAAGTAAGGTTTTTCTACCCTTGGTTTTGGAATGCAGTAGATACATGGAGTCTTACTGGATTTTTAAGCCCTGTGAGGAAAGGATCATGTCTAATCTTTGTTGTAAACCCAGGACTAACCCACTGATCCTTATTCAATAAATATTGATGATTGAATGAATAAGAATTAGTCAGTGCTGCAAGATTCCAAAAATGCCACTATCATCAAGCTCCCTAAAGACTCCACAAAAAACTACTAGAATCAATGGCTAATAGGGACACTCGGATGGCTCAGTTGGGTAAGCCTCTGACTGGCTTGGGTTATGGTCTTAGGGTCTTAGGATTGAACCCTGTGTCTTTGCACTCAGCTAGGAATCTGCTTGTCCTTCTCCCTCTGTCCCTCCCCACTTGTGCTCTCTCTCTCTCAAATAAAAATCTTTTCTTAAAAAGGTAGGGACACCTGGGTTGCTCAGCGGTTGAGCGTCTGCCTTCAGTTCAGGGCATGATCCCACTTCTCCCATTATGTCTCTGCCTCTCTCTCTATGTTTCTCATGAATAAATAAATAAAATCTTTTTTTAAAAAATACCTAGAAATAAATTTAACTAAGAAGGTGAAAGGTCTATACTCTGAAAATGATATGACATTGATGAAATTGAAGAAGACACAAACAAATGGAAAGATATATCCTGCTCGTGGATTGCAAGAATTAATACTGTTAAAATGTCCATACCACCAAAAGCAATCTACAGATCAGTGCAATCCCTATCAAAACACCAATGACATTTTTCACAGAAATAGAACAAATAATCCTAAAATTTCTACGCAATCTTGAGAAAGAAGAACAAAGGTAGAGGTACCACAGTCCCTGCTCCATGACTTCAAACTACACTACAAAGTTATAGTAATCAAAACGGAATGGTGAGCAGCCCCGGGGGCGCAGTGGTTTAGCGCCGCCTGCAGCCCAGGGTGTGATCCTGGAGACCTGGGATGGGGATCCAGTCTGACGTCGGGCTCTCTGCATGGAGCCTGCTTCTCCCTCTGCCTGTGTCTCTGCCTCTCTCTCTCTGTGTGTCTCTCATGAATAAATAAAATCTAAAAAAAAAAAAAAATTCTCAGAACTCTTAAATAATCTCTATTCTAAGATACTAGAATCTAGTATCTTAGAATAGAGATTATTTAAGAGTTACAAAAAAAAAAAAAAAACCGGAATGGTACTGGGTCAAAACAGAAAAGCCAATGGAACAGAACTGAGAACCAAGAAATAAATCCACACATACATGATCAATTAATCTACCTCAAATGAGGCAAGAATATACAATAGGAAAAAGACCATCTCTTCAATAAATGGTGTTGGGCGTTAGCTGTTCCTGCCCCTTCTGGGCCTTGCCTTTCTAGCCTCTTCAGCTGGGGAGGAGCCACCCCTTCCCTCTCTCCAGCAGCACTCACCCAGGAAGAACCAGCCTCTCCACAGCGATGCCTCACTTTCTGCCAACCCCCAGTTCCCTCTCTGCAGCCAAGCTTGTCATTGGCCCTCAGGGCTGAGAATAAAAGTAGAGTAGAAAAAAAAATAAAATAAATGGTGTGGGGAGGTTGTGCAATTATATGGAAAAGAATGAAACTGAATCCCTATCTTAACATCATACCCAAAAATCAACTCAAATGGATTAAAGACTTGAATATAAGACCTGAAACCATAAAAGTCCTCAAAGATAACATAAGCAGTGAGTTCCCTGACATCAGTCTTAGCAACAATTTTTGGATTTGACTCCACAGGCAAGGGCAACAAAAGCAAAAATAAACAAATGGGACTATATCAAACTAAAAACGTTTTTGCAGAGCAAGCACTCAAGAAATCAAAAGGGCAACTTACTGCATCTGCGTTGGGCTCAGGGCGTGATCCTGGAGTCCCGGGATCGAGTCCTATGTCTCCCCACATGGAGCCTGCTTCTCCCTCTGCCTGTGTCTCTGCCTCTCTCTTGGTGTCTCTCATGAATAAATAAAATCTTAAAAAAAAAAAAAAGGCAACTTACTGAATGGAAGAAAATATTTGCAAATCATATGTGATAAGGGGCTAATTTCTAAAATATATAAAGAACAATAGCTAAAACAAAAAATCTGATTTAAAATGAACAGAAGAAGGAGAGATGGGAAAAAATTTAAAAATTAAATGCACAGATGGTTTGAGTGGACATTTTTCCAAAGACATACTAATGTCCAACAAGCACATGAAAAGCTGCTCAGTATCACAGAAATGTACATCACAACCACAATGAGATACCACCTCACAGAATGGCTATTATCAAAAAAAAAACAAACGTGTTGACAATGATGTGGAGAAAAGCAAACACTTGAGCACTGGTGGTGAGAATGTAAATTGGTGCAGCCATTATGGAGAACAGTATGGAAGTTGCTCAAAAAATTAAAATAACCACCATATGATCCAGCAATTCCACTCTGGGTTTTTATTCCAAGAAAACAAAAACACGCCCCTGTTCACTGCAGCATTATTTACAATAGCCAAGATATAGGACAACCTAAGTGTCCATTGATAAATGGATAAATAAGATGTGTGTGTGCACGTGTATATATGTATATATATTATACACACACGTATACATGCTTGCATATATATTAAATACGATATATACATATATATGCAAATATATATATACACATACATAGAATGGACTATTACTCAGCCATAAAACAATGAAATCTTGCCATCTGTAACAATATGGATGAACCTTGAGGGTATTATGCTAAGTGAAGTAAGTCAGAAAAAGAAAAATACCCTATGATTTTACTTACATATGGAATCCGAAAAACAAAACCAGACATATAGATAACAGAGAACAGACCGATGGTTGCCAGAAAAGAGGATGGTAGGGGGATGGGCGATATGGGTAAAGGGCATCAAGAGGTTTAAACTCCAAGTTAAAAAATAAACAAGTCATGGAGATGTACTGTACAACATGGGGAATGTGGTCAATAATATTGTATTAAATTTGGCGATAGATGGGGACTAGGCTTGTGGTCATTTTGCAATGTATATAAATGTTGAATCACTATGTTGTACACCTAAAACTAATATGATATTGTATTTCAACAATAATACTTTAATTTTTAAAAAATGTGAGCTTTCTCAGAAATGAAAACATGTTCACAAAGAGGTTTGCACAAGACTATTTATGGCTATTTATATTTATAGAGCTTATTCATAATAGCCCAAAACTGGAAACACCCATACATCTACTGGAGAATGGATAAAGAAATTGTGATATATTCATACAATGGAATATTACTCAGCAATAAAAACGAATAGGTTCACATTAGTCAAAAACATGACTAAAGAATATAGACACGGGATCCCTGGGTGGCGCAGCGGTTTGGCGCCTGCCTTTGGCCCAGGGCACGATCCTGGAGACCCGGAATCGAATCCCACATCGGGCTCCCGGTGCATGGAGCCTGCTTCTCCCTCTGCCTATGTCTCTGCCTCTCTCTCTCTCTCTGTGACTATCATAAATAAAAAAAAATTTAAAAAAAATAAAAAAAAGAATATAGACACAAAAAAGTGCATACTAGTTGGTGACACTTATGTGAAATCCAAGAACAGACAAAACTATGGGGCTAGAATTCAGGAGGTTTCAGGGGGTGGGCAGGTGCAGGGTAGTTAACTATAAATATAAAGGGGCATGAGGGAATTTTCTGGGGTGATGTTCATTATCTTGTTCTGGATTATTATATAGGTGTATGTTGTTGAAATTCACCAAATAGAACACCTAAGATCTGTGCTTTTTATTGTATGTTAAGGATAATTCAACCAATAAAATTTGTTTTAAACCAAAGGTGAGAGAGCTGGTGGGAATAACCATCTGTCATTTAGGCTTCACTAATAACTGATCTCAAGCACTCATTTCTATGCTCAAGAACCCAAAATGACCCCTGTGTCACTTACCCTGTCAAATCCATACCCTCATTCTGCTCTTCTCCGTACTGAACCTCCTCCACTAACTTCTACTTGGCACCCAGCCCAGGTGATCGGCTCGCTGTCCCGGGCAGCTAATACGCTCTCTCCTACCCGAGTCTCCTTGTGTCCTTACCCTGCCTGGATCTACTCGAGTTCTCGCTGCCCTTCAAGTGCCGTTCTAAATTAGGGAGCCTCCTTCCGAGAGGAACTCTTGATTAATCCCAGCCAATTTGCGCACCCCAAGATCCCTCTGCTTTTATGTGCCTTTATCGGACTGCTACGATGCGTTAATACATTCCATGTACTCCCGCAACAGAAGCAATTTTAATAAGATGGGCAGAGGCGGTGGCTAGGGATCCCTCTGTATATCTCTGCAGAACCCCATTTAGAACCTGCATTAACCGGCCACTCACTACCATGCAGACTGTGAAGATCACACGGTACCCAGACAAGGGCAAATAGATACTGAACGAAGGACCAAGGGGAATGGTACTGCAGGGGAGCTGAGGCCCTGCAGGGGCCTAGGTGGGCTGCTGGCTTTTCTAAGCACGCGGTAGGTTCAGCAGGGCAGGTGCTCGTCCCCACCAAGACAGCAAGTGGCTGAGAACGAGGTCCCATCCTCTTTGTGCTCGGCCTTCCCTCCAGTGAGGAAACGGCCAGCACTACTCTGAAAGGAGCGGAGCCTCTTCCAGGCGCCCCGTTCTCCATTATTACGGGGAGGACCGGATCCCGATCCCGATCCCGATCCCGAGGAGGAAAAGTGAGGAGGGAGCATTTAAGGCCAAGGAGGCACTCAAGCGTCTTCCCATAGATTTACACCCAACACGTAAGCAGGAAGGCAAATTACAAACACCAAGGCTCACAACCACAGACACACGTGCACGCCCAGCCCCACAGACGCAGACGCGCATGCCCGTGGCGCCGCGCGCACCTACTTAGTTTTCTGCGCTCTAGATGCCCCCGTTCCACCCCGTCTCGGCCCCGCGCGGCCCCTCCCGCCCCGGAGCCCGGGAGGCTCACCCAGCGGGACCCGAGCGGGCCCGAGGACGGCGCCTCTCCGGAGGGGGAGGGGAGGTCCTCCCCAGCGGGGCGGAAGCGGCGCTCCCCGGCCGGGCGGCCTCGGCTCCCGTCCTGGGAACATCTGGCGGGGCTGGGAGGGGCGCGCATCCAGGGCGGACGCGGATTGGCTGCGCCGAGGGAGGGGGCGGGGTCTGGGCGAGGGGCGGGGCCCACTGGCCCCTTTAAAGCCTTGACATCAAGAGGCGGCCCCAGCACCCCCTTCTTCTGCCCCCCGCCCCCGAGCCGCGGCCATGGACCCGGCGGATCCGGCCTGCCCTGGCCCAGCCCGACACCAGATTTCGGTGAGTGCCGGGCCGACGTGGGATTTAAAGGGCGGCGAGCGGAGCCCCGGGAGCTGCGGGCTGGGGTGGGCGGTTTGAAGGGTACGGCTCTCGTGGCAGCCTCGGGTCGGAGGGGGCGGCGCGCCTTCCTGCCCGGTCCTCGCCGCCCGCCCCTCCCTCCCTCCCTTCCTCCCTCCCTCCCGCCGCACTGTCCCCGGGGGGGGGGTCCGGCTGCGACTCTGTCCACCCCCACCCCACCCCCTCCCGCCCCCCGCGCCCTCCTCGCGCACACTCCATGGCCCCGGAAGGGAAACTTTCGGGACAGGGGGATGTTCCGGGGGCCGGTCTCCCTCCCTCTTTGAAAGCCCTGACCTTGCCCCAGCTGCGCACCCCACCCCACCCGCAGCCCCCCGTCCGGGTGCCGCTTAGCGGTGCCTGGTTGTTGCGCGCGCGGGGGGGGGGCTCGCCCCAAAGCGCAGGCGCGGAGCCGAGCCCTGGGCTCCTCTTCGCCCTCCTGCAGTCCCCGTGGCCTGGGGCGGTAGGGCGTGGGGAGGATGGGGAGAGGCGGGGAGACGGGGTCTCTAGGAACAATCCTTTGGTGGCTTTGAGGGGCTGCGGGAAAGAAGGAGGGGGGGGCGGCAGGCTGAACACTAAAGAGAGGCTGAGGGAGGGAGAAGGGCTGGACCGGGTGTGGGGCCAGGGCAGCGCCTGCAGGAAAGGCTCTCCGGGTCCTGGCTGCGGTGCCAGAAGAATGCAGAGAATGTATCTGTGCCCGACACTCCCCTGGCCTAGGCCGAGTGGAAGAGCGGCTCACCAAACCCCAGCCCCCTTCTCCTTATTCTGGGCTCAAGGCCCTGGGTCTCCAGCCCTGGCACTGCCCCAAGGGCACAGAGGGCCCGCACCTCCCGCGGGCCTGATATTCCAGGTTCTCAGCGCTCTCCACCCCGCCTGCCAGCTGCTACTTAAATGCTCGCCTGAGGAACCGGGGGTCTTAGCCTGATGGGCTCCTGGGTGTTAAGGCAAATCTCTCTTATTCCCTCCCAGCCTCTCTCTCCCTCCCCTTGGGTCCTCCTGCCTAAGCACAGTTGTCCACCAGAGGTAGTGGCTGGAGGCAGATGCCTGGGACAGGGGTGGTACTGGGAGACGGTAGAGAGGGAGTCAGTGTCTAACCATTCTATGGTCAGTACTCAATGGGAAAAAATGAACCCAGCCTGACCCTGTCATGCAAGACCCTTGTCTTTCCAGAAGGGAGACACAAAATTCACTTCTCATATTGGTTCCCTGTCTTTCTAGGAACAGCCTAGGGTTAGTGGGTGTCCTACTTGAGAGAAACATGTGTGTTCCTGTCTATAGTCCCACATAGTTCAACTTTGTTTTCAAAGTCTTTGGTCTGTGCATGAGGTGGCTCCGGCCTTCCAGCATCTTTCTTCAGCTTAGGTCTTTGGAACAGATTGGGAACCTGGAGAGGCAGATGGCCTGGGTCGCAGGGAAGAAGGCTGTTCCACAGTGGGCAGAAACCAATGTATATGAGGAGCAGGCCGCTATCACTGTACATAAGGAGTCGGAAGCACTGGCCCCTGCTTTTCCCAGCTTGCTGTGTGACTTTGGCCAAGACAGTTTGCCTCTCTGGGGCTCTTTTCCCTCCTCTGTAAAATTCAGCACTTGGACTGGAAAGCTCTAACATTCCCTTCCACTTTTTGACACTGCATGATTCCCCTGATCAGTGAATCTGAAAGGAGAAAGGTCGTCTGGCAGGTGACTTAGTTTGAGGAGGGAGGTGTTGGGTGATGAGGTTCTAAATCACAGTTACTTAGGACTAGAACCTTGGATGGAGGGGGGGTACAGACTCACTTATTCTGCCTAAGAATAGTCATTGTCTTTCCCACCCCTGGTGGTTTGGGGGATGAACTCTTGCTGGCTGGGGTTTGGCCCACCCATCAAGGCCTCTGCTGAGACATCCTGGCAGGCCAGACTTTGAGTTGGGTCTTTGGGGAGGAGTTGAGGGAAGGGTAGGCAGCCAAGGGCCAGCCGGGTAAGCAGATTCCCAGGAGACAGTTTGCATCTCAGCTGTTGGGACTTGTTTTAGGATCTGAGCCAGGGAGCACACACAGTACACTCATCCACCCTCTTATGGGGAGAGGACAAGAGCCCCTTTGCTATTGCCCATCTCACTCCCTGGCCCTGCTCACCTCACCTGTGCACTCACACCCCTCAGGCCCCAGGCAGTGGGCTTAAGAAGTTCTCCCTGCTGTGAGCCAGCCCAGCCAGCCTCCCAGGTCCTTCCATGGAAGCCAGGCAGCAGGGAGAAACTGCCCTGGCCCCACCTTTCCCGGCCTCCTTCCCTCCTGGGGGTATGGTTTCTCAGGAGTCAGGCTCTCCAGGTTGGGACTTGCTCTCTAGCCCAAGAGCCAAAGGCCTTCACGTTTCCCTTGTTTGTTTTCATCCTTGATCTCCCAGGTGCCAAGGGGGGGAATGTTAGAGGAGGTGGTGGTTAGGGAGACTGTGGGATTGGTTGGAGGTGGGACACGTTCTCTGCATTGCTTTTCCCTTTGCTAGCTCTGCTGGGCCTGGGGGGCCCTCTCCGCTGGGCCCCGGTGCCCCTGGACTGGAGCTGCAGCGGGAGGTGTTTAGGCTAGAGCCCCAGGGAAACCTTCCTCACTTGGAGGAGCCCCTGGAATGGAGAATGGAAGCTCCCGGGGAGGTCAGTTTCCCAGAAAGTGGTTAATGGTGGAGTCCCTGTCAGAGTGAAGGATGCGGCTGTTGCTAGGCAGAGGCTGCTGTTTCCTCTTGGGGTGTGGCTCCGAGGCTGGCCAGCCAGAGGCCCCGTTAGAAACAGGAGGAGAAGGACCCTTGCCTGAGAGCTGAAGAGGGGACCCCGGCCCCATCAGCTCTGGGTCACCACAACTGCTTCTCTTGGAACAAATGCCACTTCTGGCCCTGCCTCCCCTGCGCCTCCCCCACTTCCCCGCCACTATCAGTCTGCTCCACAATCCTCGCCTGAACCTGGCAGGCTCTTGCAGCCCCAGTCTGGCTGCACTAATGGACTGATTGGATTTTCTATACTTGGAGTTTGGGATTTCTGATTGAACATGCAAATTTATGTAAATCAATCTGGGATCTGCCGCCACATCAAAACAACATAGAGTCATAGGCTGGAAGGGATCCTAGAGACATCTAGTCCAACGCCCTCGTGTTAAAAATGGGGAAACTGAAGTCCAGAGGGGGAAGTGATTCATACGATGATGAGTGTCAGTGGCAGGGCTCCTGACTCTGGTCTGGTGTTCTATAGGGTCCCACTCTGCCTTGATTTCTCATGCATGAAGGGCCTGGCCCAGTTGACAGCAGAAAGGGCAGTTCCTGAACCTGAGACCGTGAAGAGTGCGACCCTTGGAGGGTCAGAGTGTCCGCTCAGGGCCTCCCAGGGGCTCTGGTCACATCTAACATGCTGAAGAAAAATAACTTCCTATCCCTTAGAACAACTCCCTTGTTTTTCCCCAGGCCCTGCCCTGGAAGGTTGGAGTACAGGGTCACTGCTGGCTCCCTGGCTTGGCCCTTGTGGCTTCTTACCCAGAACTGAGGTTGCATCTGCTCCAGCTTCCCTCCCGGTACCAAGCACATAATAGGCTTTGGCTGGCTCTGCACAGGCAATGCTTCCATCTTTACCCTCCCATCCTCATTTGCGTCGCTGCTGCTTCCCTCTCTGGCCAGGGTGGGAAAAGATCTTTAGTCTTCTGGGACTCGTTGCTACCCTCCCCTGCCCTTGCTATAAGAAGGATATCATTATTTTGGGATCGGTGCCAGAGTTTGAGATTGGGCTGCAAAGGTGAGCTTGGGTTGCTAAGAACTAGCCTCCCCACTTCTTGACACGTTTTTGATCTGATCCACCACCCCCCCAGCTGCAGGGTGCCCCGGGTTCCCACTTCGCAGACCGTGCCTGTGGTGTGGGGCTGTTTGGAGGGCTGAGCCCTCACTTACCCCGTAGTGCCTGCACGCCTCGTGGAGATGGCAGAGATCCTCAGGGCAGCTGTTGGCCCGCTCTGCGGTACTTTGGCAGAGTGAGTGTATGGGCTCAAGATCAGAGGCCCGGACTCACAGCCGAGACCACCACCAGGCCCTGCTGCGGCCTGGGGAGGGGGCTTGGGATGCATCTGGGGTCTTCCTCCCCTTCATCCCAAACCCAGGCCCGGCTGACTCTGAAAGAAGAGCCCCCATCTTCAACACCTTCCCCAAACACAGCAGGTATGGAGCAGCACCCTCGGCTCCTCTGTCCTTAGTTCTGTGTGAGGGGATAGCCTCCCTGCGCCTCAGTTTCCCAGCCGGGGCTGATGGATGAATAACACATCATCACTGGGTGTGGCACCTGCTCAGTAATTGCCATTTTCCCAGCCCTGGGAGTTACACGGATGAAAGAGGCCCGAGGAGGCCAGGCTGTTATTAAGGGGAATTAGCACTGCTATTATTACTGATTTCTAAAAGTCCAGCAGCCACTGAGAAGAGCCCAGTCAGGCACGGCTCCTGGGACCTGATGGCAGACCTTGAGCCCTGATTTCTCCAGTACTACCCAAGCTTTTTATTTATTTATTAAAATATTTTATTTATTTATTCATGAGAGACACAGAGAGAGAGAGAGAGAGGCAGAGACACAGGCAGAGGGAGAAGCAGGCTCCATGCAGGGAGCCCGATGTGGGACTCGATCCCGGTACCCTGGGATCATGCCCTGAGCCAAAGGCAGACATTCAACCGCTAAGCCACCCAGGCGTCCCTCACCAAGCTTTCT